AGCAACGGGCGTAGTCGAACGGTACACACTCGGTAAGCAATCCTACAATTTTTTGTTTATAACGTAGTTTATACGGATTATTTTCAAAAAAATATACGTATTTTGGAAATGTTGAGTCGAATTAGTCTAGAATCGATTAATTTTATGAAAGAAAACCTTTCAAACAGCCGTAGTCCGTAAACTATGATTCCTACAAAATTGATTCATAAAGAACCGAACGTATCTACTGTCTTATAGGGGGATCTACTGTTCTTCATAAATACTAAATTAACTCATAAAGAATCAATATAAAATAAAAAAGAGTTCTCATAGTTCGTGATATGAAATATTTAACTTAAAAAATTAAGTACTTAACCTCATAAAGCACTTTTGCTCATATACAAATTAAGTGTTTTCAGTTGGAGTTGTTCTAAAAAAGAAACAAATTCAAAATTTGAATGGTCATTTCAGCTGGTTCAAATGTTCACGACAACTACAATATATCTGCAGAGGTCATGATTTTGTGTGTTCAAAATCTTAAGTGTGGAAATATGCACATATTTTGCACAAATATTGCACACTTTGAATGTTTTCATATACAATGCCTCTGCTAAAAATAAAATTTGCTGATTTTGTGGCAAAAATAAAAGTTTCACTTTATAATGAAACAAAACTTTTATTTTTGCCATAAAATCAACAAATTTTAGGAAATATCCAAAGCATGCAATATTTCCATGCTCAAGACTTTAAACATAGCGAGTTATATTATTATTTCTTCAGAGTAGCAACATGTCTTTCTATTTATTGTATTTACATCATAAACATTTGAATTAGCTGAACTGGTCATTCTGATCAGCTGAGTGAACTAATCATTCAAATTTTGAATTTGTTACCTTCTTAGAACATCTCCAACTGAAGAAGTTCAATCTGTATATGAGTGAAAGTGCTTTCAGTTAAGTATTTAAGTTTTCAAGTTAAATTTTTGGTATCATGGACTATGTGAATGCTCTTTTATTTTCGATTAAATACATCATAAAAATTTTTAATTATTATTTTTATCCTTTGTAAAATAATATGTTGTTAAAAAATAAGACTAATGCTGTTTTTTTTTTTTTATACAATAAGTAATTCTATGAAAATCAGAAATTATAAATAAATAAATAAATAAATAAATGTTTTTTCAGATGAAACTGATCCTTCTCACTTCTTAGAATATAAAAACAAACGATCATCAAATACACAGAAAGGTCAGGTGACATGGATAATAGAAACTGAAACTCTTTTTACAGAAGGTAAGCTTGATATGATTTTAAAACAAAATATACAGAAATCATATTTGTATATAAAATAAACTGAAATTTATTTGCTATCCAAAAATATATCTAAAGCTAGATTATTTTCAGGCTAGAATTGAACTAACTTTTAATTGAGCTAGGGAATTTAACCAACAGATCAAATTAATACATTAATCTAGTTATAGATATATGTTTGGCTATTATATTTTGTTATAAAAAATTTAAATTGTAATATATTGCAAATAAAAAATTGAGTAAATGTTTAACAACATATTTATCAAAATTTTCTAGTTTTTCTCATAATTTTGTGAAAAAAGGTATAATATTGAATTTAAGCAGTGTCATATATACTTTGTTTTATTCACACAGAATTTCCTACAAAACTTTTTTTCTAGCTTCTCATAGTATTTCAGATACAACTGATTATTGACTCTTCTAGATATGTAGATATTGCATAACATTAAAAGCATTAACATTTTATGGTATTATAACCATAAAAGAATATAAAATTCAATTTAGACTATCATGTTTTAAAAAACTTTGAAGTTTAGATTACACAGAATTTATATTTGTAATGCAAATTTAAAGTTTTGTAATTGTTGAGAACTTTGTTCAAAGTGTATGTGGAAGAAATCTGTCCTGTTTCTATTGACTCTTGTTTCTGACTTAAAGCACAATGATTTCAACAAGATGGTGCCAAACATCAACTAGTATTATCATTCTCCATTTTTCTCATAATTTTAAAAGTATCTTATTCAACTGATATTCAATGTTGTTTTTTTTTTAAAATGTTTTAAGTTTGGACTTCATGTTCAGTGAAAAACCTCACTTTCTGCATAAATGGCAGCTGTAGTGCATGCAAGCCATCTATCTCTCTCTCTCTCTCTCTCTCTTTTTTCTCTCTCTCTCTCATGTGTTTTCAGACCTTTTTTGACCTTACTTTTGGTGTGTTTGGTTATATATTAGCATTTTAACAATTTCCTTCTTCAAGTTTTCTTTGTTGATACCCTGTACATTTTGTATCCTTTAGTTTAAAATTTCCTGAATGGAAGTTTTTAAACCACATTTGATATATCTAAAGTTTAGGAGCATCTTTCCCACACACACATTACAAAGTTTTTTACTGTTTGTATATCATTGTAGCCTTTCTGAAATTCATAAAACATAATATGCCTGATATGCTTTTTATCTGAAGACAATTTAATTTGATTTTATTCTAATAAAATGTGAAGTAAAAAGCTTAAGTGGTGGATCTGGCAGCTATGTTTAAGATTCCAATGTCAACAGTGTATGACCAATAAATGCAATATTCATTTTATTGTACGGTATTTACATATTTTATTTATTACTTTTATGTTTTAATTTATTATTTAGGGTATTTAATTGTTATTTTTGCCTTAAGTTATGTGTATTTGCTGTTTAAGTTTATCAAGATGAGTCTGAAAGAAATAATTAATTTTTTATGCCAGATTCTTATCAAATAAAAGTTAAATTTTTATCTGATCAAGATGAGTCTTGTTTAGGGTCTGGAAGTGAATTAATTCATTTTCCATTATTTCTAATGAGGAAAATTGACTCAGACTTTGAATAATTCAAAGTTCAAATGGCCTCTGGAATGAATTAAATTCAAAGTATGAGGCATCACTGTGTTTCAGTTATAATTTTCTCAGTACATCAAATGCTAAAAAAAAATATCCAGTAAAAATTATATTATTTTTTTAAATTAAATACTTTCTCATTTAATGTAGTAGTATTAAATGTTATTATTATTGTCTTAATATTTAGTTTTAAATAACCTTTATTCTAATTTCTGCTATATTATTTTCAACTTTTATGTTTTTTACTATTATATAGATGTGACCAATGTATGTTTTCGATATTATCATGGCAGCACTGGAATATTAAGAGCAGTCAGTCCTGTTGTAACTGTGAAGAGATTGAATGATGCTGCTTCATCACAGGTATTTTAAAGATTTGAAATAACGTTTTTAAATTATTAAATGGCAAAAAAATTTTATGGATGTGCTAGAAGATTATACATAATACAAATATATACAGTAGAACCTCGATTATCCGGACTAATTGGGAATGAAGGTAGTCCGGATAAGGAAAAATCCAGATAATTGAAACAAATAATTTGTCTTTTAATGATAATACAACACGTCTTCTTTTCGATGACATATCGGTAATATTAAAAGTAAATACTGTATTTAAATCGTGATCAAATTTTCAAGAAACAAACGTTCGTATTAAATTTGGACTACTACTGACCAACGCTAACAGACTACCTATTGTTTAAAAGGCCCTCTGGTGGCGCAAGAAGACGGATTTTATAAAATAAAAAGCAGTTGAAACTGCATTTTTATGAATAAAAATTTGACAAACTATTTATCGTTTTATGACGAGTAAAATTTTTTCGTCGCGTTCGCGGCTTTTAAGTAATGCATAAACCTTCGAGGCGCGAGGCCCTTCGGACCGCGAGGCATAGGCGGTGGCCCACGTCGTCCATGCCTTACGCCGCCCTTGGTCATAGAAATGATGTAATTTGAATATAAATTATTTATAAATACGTATGTCAAGTTATATTTTTATTACTACGTAAAATATATTTAAGAGTTTACGACCACTGTGCTGGGTGAGACGTTGTTGAAACAAAAAAAGTTATGCATTCCATCACGTACATAAACAGTGTTGTAATTCGCCAAGTGCAAATCAGCAAATTCGTAAAATTTTTGTTTATTTTGAACAATCCGGATAATCGAAAATCCGGATAATGGAGGTTCTACTGTACATACAGTATATATATATATTCACACCAACACACACAGACACACACACACAACACATTGTATGTATGTATGCATGCATATATATGAGTATTTCATAAACATACTGATGAACTTCAGGAGGGAGTTACAGAGGACACCAAAACAATCACTTTTTGTTAATAAACCCAAGTCTGCAAATGAGCCATTTTGGCAATAGAGCAAATTACCTGAATTTACAGCACCTGCTCAAAATAGTGATCATGTACAGTACTTTAATACAGAGATTGCATCTTTGGTTCATGGATTCATGGACCCTATAGAATATTCCTGCAATAGCTTATACATGTGTTCAAGTAGCAAGACTCTTGCCAGAAGATCTTCCTCTTGAAGTATAAGAGGCTTGTATACCAGAGATTTTACAAAATCCAAAAGAAAGAAGTTAAAGGGATTAAGATTAGGAGATTGTGCAGACCAAGCTACAGAATCTCTTCTTCCAATCTACCTGTTTGAAAAATGATGATTCAGATACTAGAACATATTCAAACTGAAATGTGCGGCTGTCCCATCAGGTTAGAACCACATGTCCTTTCTAATATCCAAAAGGACATTTTCTAAAAATTTGGACAAAACATTTTGTAGGAACTAGAGATAAATATGAGCAGACAAATGAGGTGGCAGCAAGTACATTATCAAGTTCTCTCCCAAGTACAAGCCCAAATGTTTACAGAAAATTGGTGTCTCCTAAAGGTCCTAAACCTTTAGGAGACACCAATTCTCTAAACAGTTACATCTGAGATGATGAGCTGTTGGTGTCTCCTAAAGGTCCTAAACCTTTAGGAGACATCAACAGCTCATCATCTCAGATGTAGCTGTTTTGAGAATTGAAAAAACCCATCTTGAGTAAAGCATGCCTTATCTGAGAACACAGATCTCACAAGGTTAGCTTGGATAAAATTGTGACCCAAAAACCTTTGGCAGAAATTGATTCTAGGGTGGCAGTTTTCATAGCATGTACTCTTTGGACACTGTAAGGAAGAAGGAGCTGTTCATGCCATACTATTGACTTGGAAGTTCCCATGTGCTGTGCAATTGCACAAACACTTGTGGAATGTTCTTGGTCTACAAAGATCTCCTCCAACACAACTGTACGTGCTAATCTTGAATGACCAGCACCACCATAATTTATTAAGTTACCATTTTCTTGAAAGCATCAATGAATAGAAATAAATGAGGTTGACAACAATTTCTTTGTACAAGCTCCTCATCCATTACAATTTGCTTTACCATAAACAAGATGCTTTTCATCCAGTTCTTCAAAAGAAAAATTATTTTGAAGAATAAGTTTGAATATGAACAGTACATGAAAAACAAACAAAACTTGAATGCACTGATATTGCCAGTTTATAGAAAAAATTACTACTTGTTTGAAAATTTTCAATGACCTTCATTAGGATAAAGGTATTTTTATTAACTTTTTTTTTATCACAATATAACAATGAAAGTAAGAAGAAGAAAAAAAAAAGAGGCCCAGATTCTCACTGGCTGCTATAGCTTGGCTGCTAGTGTGCAATTACTTTAAATTACAACTTTAATTTACTCTAAATTATCAAATTTAATTGTCAAAACAGCTCATTTGCAGATTTGGATAACAAAAATGATTGTATATTAGTTTTTTTTTTGATAACTATTATTATTTCTTCAATTATTTATCAGCTGTTGTTAAAGATGGTACTTAAAAACCCAACAGGCAAATTGCTTCAAGTTATACATTTTTTAATTGTTTTGTCTTTTTAATGTCAAAATCAATAAGACTAGAATTTCTGTAAATTGTAATCTTATTTATTTACCCTTAACGTTGTCATTTGGTAACAAAGTGATAACAAGTGAATTCTATTATGTAAGGAAATTAAAAATTTTTTTGAGCTAGGATATATAACCAGGGTGGCCAAGCTCCTTGATAGTCCGAGCCATTTTTCAAAATTTGAAATTTTTCGCGAGCCACAATTAAATACGTATTAAAAGGTATGCAAAAAATTCCAGATTACAAATTATATTCATAGCAAGAGTGATACAAATTGTTTCCTCCGGAGCACAATGTCAACTGTCCGTTGCAATAACAGTTTACAAATTCAAAATCGGTCTGGAGTCGGTCGATAACGGACGATTACGCCACTGTTTATGTTCGTTCGCGCAGTTTTCGATGAGTCATATCATTCTTAACTTGGACGGAAATGAAATTTGTTACAACGTTGCACTTAGTCTTTCATATTTGTTGTTAGTAATTTAAAAGACATTTTGAAACACATACGGAACGATAATAATTTTTTAAAAATATAATAACACAAAAATGAAAAGGGAACTCGGGTACATCTATCAAGAGCCACAAATAATCCTTTAAAGAGCCGCAAGTGGCTCGCGAGCCGCAGGTTGGCCACCCCTGATATATAACAATCAATAATTGCTTTTATAACACATACTCAACATTGATCTGTTTTTTCTGGTAGTTTATCTCTAATAAAATACTGTAATAACAATAATTATTATTATTTATTGTTATTGTTTAAAATATTACTTTAGGAAAGTTATTAAATTTATTTATTTTCAAAATTTACTCATTAGAATCAAAATTTTACATAACTTTTACAACTGTTATAAAATATACTTGTATACAGTGTTGCTTAAAAGTAGAAAGATAAAAATCTTACAGCTATTTGCACCAACACATTTAATTCATATATTTACTAACCCTTGAGTTTTATATTCATTGAACCAACAAAGTTTATCTAAACCAGCAGATAATATGGAGGGATAAGTTTATTGTAAAAGTTGGAAGGGTAAATTTGTTAACATTCAGGTTAAACATAGCACACATAAACATCCCAAAGCCCAATGTATTAATATTAAACCAAACAATTACCATAATTAATTGTAATTCTAAATTATTTAATAAATATTAAATTATTATAATTATTAATTTAGATAAGAGATGGCACCTAATGGCTACCTCAAATGCTAAATTACTTAATTTCTAATTATTAATATTAGCAAAAATTAGTCTAATTAATTATGGTGATCATTTAGTTTAAGTGTAGCAGTTGTAGAATGTGAAAGAGACTGTATAGAAGAAATAGATTTACTCAAAGACATTGAAAANCTAATGGCTACCTCAAATGCTAAATTACTTAATTTCTAATTATTAATATTAGCAAAAATTAGTCTAATTAATTATGGTGATCATTTAGTTTAAGTGTAGCAGTTGTAGAATGTGAAAGAGACTGTATAGAAGAAATAGATTTACTCAAAGACATTGAAAAGATTATTTATCCTGGACATAATGTCTGATTTGGTCAATTAAAAATAAAAATCAGTTTGATCACATGTAATGAGTCAGTCAGTCTTCCTAAAATTTCCTATTACATCATTATATTTATCTAATAATTGTAAAATATTGCTTTGTAAAATTTGGCACTCTTTTCTTAAAGCTATCTATGAATAAGAATAGTCCTGTTGACTTGTTTTCTGAAACTGTGTTTTACTATTTATTGTGTTGAACACAAGATTGTGTTATTAAGTAAACACTTGGCTTTTTTCTATATTTATTCAGTTTTACTGAATAAAGATGGAAAAAAGCCAAGTGTTTAATTAATAACACAATCTTTTATTCAACACTCAAGGAATAGTCCTGTTAAATTTTGTGTACAATAATAATGCAGACAATATTTATCAGGAAGAGCCAGTCATTTTTTTTAATACAATAATTCATGTGTCTGTTACATGATTATATCATTAAGTTTAAGTAGTTTGATTCTCTCTGCTAAAACAATGGTGCAATGAAACTTGTTAATCTACAATTGAACTTAATTCAAAATCTAACAGATTGGCAGATTTTCAGGGATTCTACCAGTTCAAGTAAGTCAGGAAGGGCCAGGTAAATGTCAGGTGTTTTAAAAATTGTTTATTAAAATTATGTGAAAGTCAGGTTATTTTAAGGTATTAAAAATTTGTCAAGTATTTTTCATAGGCATTGTGAATAATTGCAATATGAGCATATTTTCATGATGACATGTGCATGATTACTAATATAATAGCCGTTGTCTATGTGTATTTGTACGTGTGAATTCTTTATAACTCCTGCAATCTTTGTCCAATCCAGATGAAATTTTGGTTATATTCATTTTATGTTCTGATGGAAA